TATTCACCTGAGTACACAACACCAACACAGAAAAAATCATATTACTAGAATACATTGGTATCGAAGGAACTAGATTCTGTTCCGAAATATCACCTACTCGAACCGTCCTGACCGCGTAGCTCAGTTGGAAGAGCATTGGGCTAGTATTCCAAAGGTCGTAGGTTCGAATCCCACCGTGGCCGGGCATATTTTTCAAGCTCGCCCGGTGTGGATATGCACTCAGAGTAACATCACAAACAAGTTATCAGTGATCGCAAAACCTCCAAATACTTAATCTCAAATGTTAGAATGTTAGGGTTTGTAATCCAAGTGAGAATATATACATTTTAAGACCTAACCAGGAACGACTGCGAAAAATGCGCACAAGGTCCTCTGGTAGGAATTGAACCTACGGCCCTGCGATTCCGTTGCAGCGCTCTAACCAACTGAGCTACAGAGGCCAGCTGTTGAGCTTTAACCGTAAGTTCATGTATATTTAGGTAATCGGGTGTGCGGGTTATGATAAGGTGGACTTCAACAGTTTGGATTCTTGCACTTCACTTGGTGGACTTAATATTAGAATGTTAGGGTTTGTAATCCAAGTGAGAATACATACATTTTAAGACCTAACCAGGAACGACTGCGAAAAATGCAGCACAAGGTCCTCTGGTAGGAATTGAACCTACGGCCCTGCGATTCCGGTGCACTAGCGCTCTAACCAACTGAGCTACAGAGGCCAGCTGTTGAGCTTTAACCGTAAGTTCACGTATATTTAGGTAATTAGGTGTGCGGGTTGTGATAAGGTGGACTTCAATAATTTGGATTCTTGCACTTCACTTGTTGGAATTAATATTAGAATGTTAGGGTTTGTAATCCAAGTGAGAATATATACATTTTAAGACCTAACCAGGAACGACTGCAAAAAATGCAGCACAAGGTCCTCTGGTAGGAATTGAACCTACGGCCCTGTAATTCCGGTGCAGCACTCTAACCAACTGAGCTACCGAGGCCAGCTGTTGAGCTGTAACCGTAAGTTCATGTATATTTAGGTAATCGGGTGTGTGGGTTGTGATAAGGTGGACTTCAATAATTTGGATTCTTGCACTTCACTTGGTGGAATTAAAATTAGAATGTTAGGGTTTGTAATCCAAGTGAGAATATATACATTTGTATATTCTCACATGGATTACAAACTATTCTCATTTGGATTACAAAATATATACCCAAAATATATATACATGTACTATACATTTGTATATTCTCACTAGGATTACAAAATATTCTCACTTGGATTACAAAATATAGACATGTATATATTCTCACTTGGATTACAAACCCTACCATTCTAATACTAATTCCACAAGTGAAGTGCAAGAATCCAAATTATTAATTTCAAATGCCCCGCCGGGGCTAAGGTTTGAGTGGAAATGCCCAACCCCCGGGATGTGCTTTACAGGAAAATGGCTGGGCGAGGGGGATGGGCACACTTGGATTTGGCTGATGCATTAAAAGTCCTGTGCTTATTTCAGACTGCTTGTCAAATATTTACTTGCTAGAAGTAGAAATTTACTCTGACCACTGGATGAAGAAGACATTAAATAAGTACTGGTCAATAAACAGAAATGTATTTTAGTTCATAGTATTACAATTTTATTTTTATACTATAAAAATAAAATATAAACATGCAGCATAGAATATGCAAATTCGAGGCAAAATTATTGTTGAATCGGTTTATTTATAGGATTTTATAACAAATAGCAACTATAAAAGTTTGTACCTTGTCTTCACATGCATCGCTTTATTCTGTTAGCCAATGCTTTTAAATTTACATATTTTAGAATCAGTTCTTTTCCTGGTATAACTGCATTTCTAAATGAAATCATCATGAGTAGTGAGTGCTGAGCAGGCCGTTTTACTATAAACAAATTTTAGGAATTGATAACAACTTTGAAGAAAAATATATCGTTGAACATTCGGTCACAGTCGGAAAAATGTTCATAGTATGTTGTACCGTCGCTTGCACCTAACGATGAACAGTCGCTCATAAAAACATTCGCGTGATTAGAATCTCCAATGTTTGTCAAGAACAACAATATGACAACAACACTTAATTGTTGTTTCCCATGTGTACAATAATAAGTAAAAAAAACCTTTGTGTGGTCTGAACGAGTTGGGCCAGAGACCTACTGGAAACCTTTACAGGCTTTTTAATGAGAATAGAGAATGTTTTATCTGCAACTGTTCACCTTTAGTTGCAGCCGACGGTATTTGGCAACATAAAATTTAAAAATTAAACGAAACTTACCTGTAAGGTGAAGTTTGATTGTAATTCTACTAGTCATCAGCGGGGAGTGAAAAAGTTGCAGGAGAGAGTGCGACGCACGCGCAGAAAACCAGACTTCACAGTAGACAAGACTCCATTAGCAGGAGTGAAAGAGTTGGGTGGGAAAATCATTGGGCAGGGCCTGCAACTCTTTCACTCCCCGCTGATGACTTGTAGAATTACAATCAAACTTCACCTTACAGGTAAGTTTCGTTTAATTTTTAAATTCTACTACGTCATCAGCTATGGTCGTTCAAGAGTTGCACGAGATTTCACAGCAGTAATGGAGTCAGAGAAAACTAAAGTTCCCAAATTAAAACCAACTACAACAACAAGAATATGTATTTGTAAAACAACATTACAATGTATAACATCTAACAGTTAATTTAATGAGTTCAAAATGATCGTACCCAAGTTTAAGGTTTGTTCCACAGGTTTCTTATAAAATGTCTCAAAAATTTTAGCGTTTGACCAGCCAACCGAGCTAATGATTT